TATTTTAACGATTTAAAAGCATACAATAGCATGAAATATATTTGCAATGTCATGTAACAATCACCACTATCTATACCTAAAATGTTTTCAGCACCCCAAACTGAAAGTACTCATTAAGCAATAACTCCCGCTTATAGCCTTCCCTCAGCCCCTGGTAACCTCTATTTTAATTTGTTTCTATGAATCTGCCTATTCTAGGTACCTCCTGTAAGTGGAATCATATGATAGTTGTCCTTCTGTGTCTGGCTTATTTTACTAAGCATAATTATTTTCAAGGTCCATCTATTTACAGCATATATCAAAATTTCCCTCCTTTTTTTGGCTGAATCATATTCCATTATATGTAGCCCACATTTGGTTTATTCATTCATCCATTGATGGACACATGGGCTGTTTGGATATTGCAAATAATGCTGTTATAAACACTGATATACAAATATCGGTTTGAATCCCTACTTTTGATTTTTTTGGATATATACCTAGAAATGGAATTGCTGGGTCATAAAGTGGTTCTATGTTTAACCTTTAGAGAAACTGGCAAACTGGTTTCCACTCTAAGCTTTGACTTCTAAGTCAAAGATCTCAATTAGATAAGGGCTACATGAAATCATCAATTGCATTTTCCAGAAAAATATTGTTTGTGAATATCATCTGTTGTCCTATACAATGTCTCCTACATATAATCTCAAGGAGAAAACACTTTTGAGAATTAGGTACTGGGGCCAGGCGTGGTGGCTCATGCCTGTAACCCCAGCACTTTGGGAGGCTGAGGCAGGCAGATCACTTGAGGTCAGGATTTCAAGCCCAGCCTGGCCAACATGGTGAAGTCATTTCTCTATTAAAAATACAAAAATTAGCTGGGTGTGGTGGCTTGTACCTTGTGAGGCCGAGGCAGGAGAACTGTTTCAACTGGGAAGCATGGATGTTGCAGTGAGCCAGGTTTGTGCCACTGCATTCCAGCCTGGGCAACAGAGTGAGACTCCCAAAAAAAAAAAAAAAAAAAAAAAAAGTGGCTCACACCTGTAATCCCAGCACTTTGGAAGGCTGAGGCAGGAGGATCACTTGAGGCCAAAAGTTTGAGACCAGCCTGGCCAACATGCCAAAACTCTGTCTCTACTAAAACAGAAAACGAAAAACAAAAATTAACTGGGCATGGTGGCGCACACCTGTAATCCCAGCTATTTGGGAGGCTGAGGCAGGAGAATCACTTGAACCCAGGAGGCAGGGGTTGCAGTGAGCCAAGATGGTGCCACTGTACTCCAGCTGGGTGACAAAGCAAGACTCTGTCTCAAAAAAAAAGGAGAATTAGGTACTGGGAAAGGTTTATTTTTCCTCCTTTCTGATACTAAGAATTCCAGTACGGGTCATGACTCTGCTATGAAGCCTGAAACCAAATCTGAAGCTTGAACAGTCACTGCTGGTTCTCTCCCTTCTATGGGATTCCCATCACTCCTTGGGATGGTTTTATCATTTCCTGGCACACTGGCCTGATTTCCAACATTAGAGCCTATATCTTTCCCTGAGGGCTACCCTTGGGCTGCCCACAGAAGAAAATAAGGCCAGAAGTACCTGGGAATTACATCCCTGTGCGCCTTCCTCATCCTCCCCAGACAGCTTCTTAACCAATTCCTGACAGGTGTGGGTGTGTAAATATCCCACCTTTCCTGCATGGCATATCTGGGTCAGGAGCTTTGCATTCATCGCTTGCAAGCTTCCCCTTGGGATTAGGTACCAGTCGCCCACGGTGGCGCCTGCCTTAATAGCATACCCTTGATTAACTTATTTTCCTTCCCTGATTCAAGTCCTCTTGCACCTACTGGTATCCCTTGCTCCTCCCAATAAACTGCTTGCACTCCAATTTTTGGTTCAAGGTCCACTTTTAAGGGAACCCAAACTAAGACAAAGTTCCTCTCTAGCAACTTCATAGCTCCACTTGCTTTCCATATTTCTGTTCTTGTTTTCTCTGGTTCTGAAGCTTTATTTATATCTTATAATTATTTTACTGTATACTTTGTTAAAAGTCTTTGCAGAATAAAGCATGGTGGAATTGATTTTTAGAAGAAAAATACCATCATGTAAGGTTATCAATAAAAATGCAAGATATCAGCGGTTTATAGAATATAATTCTAATTTTTATTTTTTTGAGACCAAGTCTTGCTCTGTTGCCCAGGCTGGAGTACAATGGTACGATCTCAGATCACAGCAACCTCCGCCTCCTGAGCTCAAGCAATTCTCCTGCCTCAGCCTCTCCAGTCGCTGGGATTACAGGCATGAGCCACCATGCCTGGCTAATTTTGTATTTTTAGTAGAGACAGGGTTTCTCCATGTTGGTCAGGCTAGTCTTGAACTCTCCACCTCAGGTGATCTGCCTGCCTGGGTCTCCCAAACTGTTGGGATTACAGGCATGAGCCACTGTACCCGGCTATAATTCTAATTTTAAAAAACACACATACATACATGCATATGCAGAGGGAAAAGACTAGAAGAAAATGGATCAAAACATTAACAGTGGTTAATTTGGATGATACTACTGCATGTAACTTGATTTTTTTCTTCTTTATACTTTATTTTACAAAAAACCTGAAGCTTCAGTTTTTTCATCTGTAACGGGGGATTATTATGCCTACCTCATGGAGTTGTGCTGGCTGAAATGAAGTGTAAATGTAACAGCAATGAGCTGCATTGCATATTCACATAATAATCACACAGTAGGTGCCTAATATGGGCCTGATAAGGGTAGCCAGTGCCATGATTACAACAATTAATCAAACAATTCAAAAGGAAATATTATAAATGAGAAATGAAAATCAGCCCACACGTACATAATGTTTTTTGCCTTTTAACAGGCACGCACTTACATGAGCTCCTTGTTCCTCACAAGAACACTCTAACAACGGCAGGCTTAGGCAGAGGGAGGGAGCAGAGGAGCAGGACCAATATTTACCAAATAGCTGATGTGCCAGATACCAAGGTGGGCACTCTGTAGATCGCTCAGATGAGAAAAGGATGGGGCTCAGAATAGTCAAGAGGCTTGCCCAGGGTATAGCGGCAGAACCAAAAGCTCCCACTCCAGACTCTTTGTCCAGGTTTCTTTTCACTCCACTATGCCACGTGTCATATTCATATCCCCGAAGCTCATGTTCCTACATGGCCAACTACCCATGCCATTCCCAGTTCCTGCGACGTGATGCGGGCACTACGTGCTCCTTCCTGCCTCTGTGCCCACCGGGAGCACCGAGAGATGGTTTTTGATGGTGGCAAGGAGGACTCAGTCCTCAAAGTTCCCATCAAAACCATCCCAAGTAGCCATTCAATCTAAAACAATCCTGTACTGGCTATGCGAACACAATGGATTCAAGGTCACTTCCAAAGTTGCACCTCCTAATCAGTTTGTTCACCCCAAGTCTTGCCTCTGTGGAGATTCTGGAACTGTCTTCTGAGACGTGGGAGGTGATGTGATGAGGGGTTTGTGGAACATGGCTAAGAGTCCAGCAGAGAATGTGGGCTTTGGGGAGAATGTGGGGTTTTATTCCTCCTCCACCCATCTTGGGCCCATTCTGGTCTGCTGTGGGAGATTTCCTGCCTGATACCCAGTTATAGTGGTGCCATCATGGCCTGCTGATGGGCAGTGCAATCTGGGATGGGATGGGGGCTGGGAGCCAGGCACTTCAGATACAGCCGTTGTGTCCCTAATCATGCTGGTCCTCTGCCTCGCCTCCCATGCACCAGCCAAAGCCCTTGATTCCTGGACTAGCCATGGGAAGTGTTTCTTGACACCAATCTCTTCTTTTGGGCTGCTTCTCCCGGCAGAATGCCTATGTAGCACAGCCATGTGTGGGAGCCTCAACTTGTCACCCTACCTGACCAGGGAGCTCTTCTAGAGCGCACAGGGGCCTTAACTACAGACCGCTTGGCATATGCACCACCCTGGGCTGTTTGCAACTGGGAGCCTTTCTTGCAATTTGGATGCCACTTCCTTTCTGCGTGGCTTTTCCAAGCTCCCTCCCCTGCTCCAGCTCTCTTTTTCCCTCCCCTCAAAATTTATTTCTACAGCATCTTCCCCAGCCCCCACGAATCACTTGATTATTCTTCAGGGATGAACAATTTTTGGGGATGTGGTGTAAAGACCCACCCCGCCCCCAATCATTTTCCTTCTGCTGGGAAATAAACACAACTGATTGTAGCTGTGCTACATCCTTGCTAAAAAATTCTCAATGGCTCCCAGGTGCCTCTAGATAAGTTCCAGCTGCTTAGTCTGTCAGCGAAGGTCCTCCCCCTCCATCCCATTAACCAGCAAACCTTCCTAGTCTTCCTTCCACCCCTCCAGCCAGCTCAGGGGGCCCCTGAATGCGATTCTCTCCTACTCCAAAGGTCAACGTGCTTCCAGTTCTCAAACCCAAGTTATGCCTAACACGAATTACTTCAGCCGAAAGGTCACTTCCCTGGTTGTTCCTGGTGGGAAATTTTCCATCCTTTGAACTCTCATTGACACTTTTGCTTCCTCACTTCCAATCTGTTCTTATTTTTTCTCACTAAGTGTGAAGTCAAGGGCAGAATCTTTTCAAATCTGCACTTCCCCTCCAACTGACTCATTAATGTTCAGTTTCCTTTCCCTATCATCTGTAAAAGCTTTCCTCCCCATGAACTCAAGCCGGTCTCCTTCATTGGACTGAAAATCTCCCAGAGCAGAGCGTCTCCAATTTAAGGATCATTCCAATTCTTTGGGGACCTTGTTAACATGCAGATTCTGACTCTGCAGGTCTGGAGAGGGGTCTGAGACTGCATTTCTAACAAGCTGCCCGGTGACGCTGAGGCTGCCTGAGCGTGGACCACATTTGAGCAGCGGGGAGGCAATACCACCTGTTGATCAGGCGACAGCGCACGTCGGTGGAGTCGGGCTGGGCGCCCAGATGGATGAAAGGCTGAGAGGGTCGCTCCTACCCCCCAGAGGAAGTGGAGGCCGCCCGGGGGTTGTCAGCGAGTCCCGCCAGGACACTTACCTATGGTGGACACGACGGTGCCCACGAAGTAGAAGGCGCCGGCGAAGTCCCAGCGCGGGCGGGCGTTGTCCACGCGGATGCCGGCCCGAGTGGCCTCCTCGTAGTGGCGGAGGAAACCGCGCAGCTCGTCGCGGCTCAGGTTGTGGCCGCGGCTGAAGTTGGCCAGGCGCTCCTCCCAGCGCTGCTTGGCCTGGCGCTCGTGCGCCAGCTCCAGCGCGGAGAAGACGGCGGCGCCGCCCAGCAGGTAGAGCACGATGAGCGCGGCCAGCAGCAGGAAACGAGCGTTGTCCTCGTTCAGGTGGCCTGAGCCCCAGCTGAAACCCCGGCTGGCCATGGTCGGGCCCCCAGGGGCAGCACCCAGCCCCACGTTCCCGGGAAATAAGGGCCCGGCGCTCAGCCGGCTCCTGGGAGCCCCACCGCCGGCTCGCCCATGACCGCCAGGCGCTCCCGCAGGCCGCGAGGCTTCCCCGGCCGCCGCGTAGGTCGCTTCTGAGGCTCCAGCTCCCCACGTCCGCCCTGACTCCTAGTTTCAAATCCGCTTTGTCGCCGCCGTTCCCCGCCACTCCCCACGCTCTCCTCGGAGTTCTTAACGCTGAAGGTCCCGGGGAGCGCGCGCAGAGTCCACGCCTGCTTGGCTCTGGGATGCGGGCGCCGTTTCCACCCGGGCTTCCAGTCCGGCTCAGATAGGGGAGGGGGCGTGGCGCGTCTTCGGGCCAAGCTGGCGCGAACTCGAGTTTCCCCGAAGAGAAGGTCGAGGGGGTCCGGAAGTCGGCCGGTAAGCGGAGCCCCGCGATATTGGTTCCCTTGACTGTCGTTTCTCAGGCCGCCGACGGCTAGGACACGGGTGTCAGTCGGCTGGCCTTGTAGCTGCCTCCCCAGGTAGATCCACAGTGGTGCGTCCTAGTTGTGGTCGTGGTGTCGCGCTGAGCCTGGGGCTTCCCCAGTAACCGAATCTGCTGCCAGGGCTTAGGGGTGGAGCGGGTCCAGGGCAGGCGCACGGAGAGAGGGGCTCTGCCGAGCTTCGTCCGAGGGCTCCGACCTCCCGCCGGGCCCCAACGTTGCGCATCCATTGGGCAGACGGGCTGGAGAGGGGAGACCAGAAAGGGAGGTTGGAACAGGAGCGAAGGAAGTTAGGGGCATCTCCCCCTGGCAGCCTCCCTCGCCTTGCCCATGCCAGAGCGCCCTCGGTCTCTGGGTCCTGCGCAGGGGCGTCCTCTGCAGGTACTAGTAGGCTCCTCCCGGACCAAGCACGCACCGCGGGCCAGCCCCGCTTCAGGAGAGGAAGCCAAAGACTCGGGGCTGGAAGGGCCCCGAGGCCAGGAGACCTTGACCTTGGAGAGTTCTATCTCTTCCACCCAGGCTTGGCTGCCTAGTGCGTTCCAGAGTTTTGCCCGGACGCGGGCTCCGCGAAGAAGGCATCCCCCACCTCATGCAGACCAGCAGCAAGGCTCTCCAGCAAACCGCCAGCCCCCCTCCCCGAGAGCCCACCTTGTAGGGGACGCTGGCGCCGCTGCCGCAGTCAGATCTCACCTTCCGGGGAGCGCCCTCTCCGCGCCGCTCCTTCGGGACTGTTCCCGGCCCTCCTTGCAGCCGCGGCCCTGCCCTGCCGGCCGGCGCGGGGAGCACAGGTCCGCGCCGCGCTCTGCCTTAGGCGGGCGCGCTCCAACGCTGCAACAGGTGGAGCTGTGGGGCTGCCAGCTGCGGCGACTCCACCCCGTCGCCCGCCTCCTTGCATGCGGGCCCGCCTCCAGCGCTGCTCTCCGCCGGCAGATGCCCAGCGCTCAGCGATGGGAGGGCCAACCCCGGGGCTGTGGTGCTCCCACCACGACGCGCAGATCAGGGGAGCGGATGCAGAATCGGCTGGCGGGACGCTCCGCCGGTCCGCGTGGGCCCTCCGGGACCGGGAGAGGGCGCTCCGCCCCCTCCAGACACATCTCGCCCCCGCCCGCGCACACAGCCCCGCGCGGCCCTCCGGAATCACCCGCCCCGGCGTGTGGAAGCCAATCTGCTCCCACAGAGGAATGGATCCGGGGCCATCTTCCCACCTTCCGAGAGAGCGGTCCTAGGCTCAGAGCCCCACACACCACCCTTACCCACCACGAGCAGAGACAGAAGGGCTCAAAGCCCTGTTGAGTAAAACCGTATGATTTCGAATAAAGAAACACAGCTCCAGCGAGTCCATTTTCTTCAGAAACGCTGGTGCTGTTAGTCCTCTCGGCTCTGTTCCTCACTCCCCGAAGCCCCTCTTTCCTCGAGCCTTCTGAGGGGCAACAACTTTAGGGGCCTCTCGAGAATAGGTGCATGTGTAAACACCCAGGGTGGGCGCTGCAATCACCTTTTAAATCATTTTATTATGAAAAAACTTCAAACATTCTAAAAAGTTGAAAGAACTTTACAGTGAACACTCATATACCCACCACCTAGATTCTACAATTAACATGCCACTGTACTTGATTTATTAGGTAGCTACCTGTCCCTCTGTCCATCCATCAGCTCATCGTGTTTCAAAGTAAGTTGCAGAGCTCGGTATTCTTCCGCCTTCATCCCCAGTGCTTCTGCCTGCATATCACTACGTAGGCTTCAATATTTACTTACAGATTTTTTTTTTTCTTTTTGGATAAAATTCACATACAATGAAATGCACAAATCTTAAGTGTATCATGAGGTGAGTTCTGACGAATGCGTACACCGCTGCAAATCACCTATCCAACCTATCAACCAAACATCACCAACAGGTCGGAGTTCTCCTAAGTCCCTTCCCAGTAACTCCCCATGCACATTCCTCCAGAGGAAACCGGTGTTCAGAATTCTTCTACCATCAGTTACTCCCGCTTTTATAGAACTTAGTTTTTTTTGTTGTTGTTCTAAATCTCCATATAAATGGAATCATGCAGGTATGTATTTTTTTGTGGAAAACGTCATGTTTTTGAGATTTACCAATGTTAATATGTCTTAGTAATTCGTTCCTCTTTATTGCTAGTTTTTCATTGTTTGGATATACCGTAGTTTATTCATTCTCCTCCTATTGATAGAAAGCAGGACTGTTAGAAAATTTTGGTTATTATAAGTAAAACTGTTAGGAACATTCTCGTACAACAATGTAGACATGTTTTCATATCTCTTGCATAAAGACCTAGGAGTGGAATTGCTGGGTCATAGGGCAGGTATACATTTCATTTTATGAGAAACTGCCTGACATTTCCCCAAAGTAGCTGTACTGACAGTGTACAATAGTTCCAGATTCTCCATTTCTTTGTCAACATTTGGCAGTATCAGTCATTTTAATTTTAAAAATCCAGGTGAATGTAGCAATATCTCACTGTGGTTTTAATTTGCATTTCTCTTATGTCTAATAAGCTTGCTGGCCACTTGTATACTTCCTTTGTAAATTTTCTATTGAAATATTTTGTCCACTTAAAAAATTAGTTTATCTGTTACTGAGCTATAGCTATCCTTTATATATGCAGAATACCAGTCCTTTCTCAGATACATATCTTGCAAATATTTCCACCTCTGACTTGCCTATTTATTTTCTTAAATATATTTTCTGCATGTTTGGTGCCCTTTGAGAAATCATTACCTCCCTCAGGGTTGCATAGGTTTTCTGTCTCCCCATACTCCTCATCCCCAGAAGTTTCGTGGTTTCAGTTTTTATGTTTGGGTCTATGATCCTTTTGTTTCCCTATGGCATGAGGGAAGAGTTAAAGCTCATTTTGTCCAGGTAGATTTCCAGTTATTCCAATGCTATTTGTTGAAAAGATAAATATGCCTGTGTTTCAGGAATTTATTTTATTATTTGTCCACCCTTATGCTAATACCACAGGATTTACATTACTTATATATAGCTTTATAGTAGGTCTTTAGTGGGACTATAATTGTGTCCTCTAAGTTTGCTCCTCTTTTTCAAGATTTCTTTGGATGTTATAAAACATTTACACTTCCACTAAAAAATCATGGAATCTGCTTAATTTCATTAAAAAAAAAAAAAGCCTTGTGGGATTTTGATTTCTGAGATTGTGTTGGATCTATTTTGGGAAGAACATATTGACAATTCATGAAAGAAATATATCCCTCTATTTATTGTGTGTTTCTTAACCAAGTTTTCATATGGAGAGTTTGCACATCTTTTGTAAATTCATTCTAAAGTATTTTTTGTTCTTTTGATGTTATTGTAAATGGAATTTCAAAATTTTACTTTTCAATTTTTTGCTCTAGTCCATAAAAATACACGATTGTTGCAAAACTACTTGAATTCTTCAACCTTGCTAAATTTAGTCATCAGGTGTTGATGTTTTGTTGATTCCTTTAGGAGTTTCTATGTAAATAATCATTTCATCTACAAGTTTTGCTTCTTTCTTCGTGATCCTTATCATCTTTTCTGTAATGGCTAGAACCTCAGTACATTATTCAATAGAAGTGGAAGCAGATACCCTTATGGTCTTAAGGGAAAGCCTTCCTTTTATCATCGTTTATATAATGTTAGCTGTGGGGTTTTCATCAAAACAGTCGGATTAAGGAAGTTTCCTTTTATTGTTGCTTCTAGTTTTCTGAGTTTTTTGTTTTTAATTAAGCAGGAATCAGTGAATTTTATTAAATGCTTTATCTGCATCTATTGTGATGATCATGTAAGTTTTCTCCTTTATTTTAATATGTTGAATTTCATTGATTGCTTTTTAAATGTTAAGCCAATCTTGTATTTCTGGGATAAGTTGCACTTGGGGTTTCCACTCTATTCTTTTTATTCTTCTACTTCTGAGTTTACTCTGCTTCATTTTCTAGCTTCTTATGGTGGATGTTTAGATCACCGATTTTAGACCTTTCTTCTTTGCTAATGTTAAGTGTTGCAGGACTTTTCCTTAGCTCAGCTAAAGATGGGGTTCTTGTCCGTCCTACAGCCATGAAAATTTAGGTTCGCAAAGGGTTAGAAAAGTGAGTAAAGCAGGGCTTTATTGGGTGAAAAGGAAGAAAAGGGAGAATGAGGGGCTCTCCCTACGCCAGAGTCCCTGCTAAAGCGCTTCCCGCTGGCAGCTTGAATCCCAGGTTACACACAGGAAGAGGAGGGGCCCGGCTCCTCCGTGGGGCGAAGGTCGTGAAGTTCCCCGGGCCCCAGCTCCACCTCAATGGGCAGGCTGGTTGGAGTTTCTCCAGGGACTCCTCTCCCAACTGGCTGTCTCATTAGTATTTAAAAACTATACCTTTCCCTGTTAGCCTGGTGGTAGCTGCATCCTAAAAATTTTGGTGTGTTGTATTTTCGTATCATTTTATTAAAAATATTTTCTGATTTCTTTTTTGGCACATGAATTATTTAGAAGTGTGTTGCTTAATTGCCAAGTATCCGGCGTTTAAAAAAGACACATTATCTATTTCTAACTTATTTCCAGTGTGTTCAGAGAACCATATTCAGTATGTTTTCAATCTTCCAAAATTTGTTGAGACTTATTTTATGGTCCAACCAGATGGTCTATTTTAGTGAATGCACTATGTGCATTTGAAAAGAATGTGTATTCTGCAGTTGTTGGCTGTAGTGTTCTATAAAAGACAGTTAAAGTAATTGATGGTGTTTTTAAGACCCATCTTTACTGACATTTGCTTTATTTATTCTATTGATTGGTGAGAGGAATATTTAAAATCACCAGCTGTAATGTGTAATTGTCTATTTCTACTTTTAATTATGTCACTTTTTGTTTATGTACTTTTAAGTTGTTATTAAGCATCTTTAAGGGTCTTCCTGGTGTAGTGACCCTTTTATTAACATGAAATGTCCCTCTTTATCTCTGGCAATACCCTTTGCCTTTAAGTTTATGATATTAATCCAGTCACCACATCCTTTTGCTTGACATTTGCATGGTATCTTTCTCCATCCATTTAGTTGTGTACTTTATGTATTTAAAGTGGACTTGCTGTGAACAGTATGCAGTTGGGTCTTTTTGGGGGGATTTGTGTCAGTTCTGAT